CCAAGATAGACCGTAAATAATGGCTGAAGTACCTCGCTACTGCTTGTTTCGCCGCTAAAATGATGAGAATCCATCACAATTCTCAATTCTGGGCAAGTCCAATCTGTTCATCTAATAAAAGGATAACGTCATAATCATATTGACATTTATTTTTGAAATTGTTTACTCGAAAATGGGGTCATTATTGATTGAAAAATCGATTGAACTTAAGTCAGTAGGTAGGGCAATACAAACTCTTGGTAAAACCTGCTAAACATGTGGATGACATGTCAAATTTTTTTGACACGTGGCAGAAGGTTGACACTTCCTTCGTGTGAATATAAGAGCAACTATGGTACAAGAAAAAAAGCAATATCCTTCTTTGAAAAAATGGGTCCGGATAACGGAAAAGCACCGATTTTTGTAATGCTTGACGTTGCGTGCGGCGTCGCATCGCAAATTGTTGACCCGTACCCAGACGCCTTTTCTAGCTTTCCAGCGTTTTGTATGATCCTTTGGTGATCAACAGTGGGCAAACGTCTTTCCATCCAAGATTCTTCTTTCCCGGAAAATAGTGGAAATATTTCAAAGTGATGTGGATTATTTGAACCAACAATGCTTACAGTTTCTAAGAAGAACAGCTAAAGTATCGAAGTAATGAAAGTTCCGATAAACATAAATCGGAACTTAGGGTTTATCGAAATATCAAGACTTATAATAAGCCGCTTAATCTGTCGCTGTTAGAGTTTGTCCATTGCGTAATGCAGTGAGCAAAAATTTACATCGCTTTGAAGCATGTGAGCGTAGCGCGGGACAAGGAAAGTTCATTTTGTTCGAAATCACTTAGCGGTTACTGGGGATGGGGAATGACGCACCTTTACGTAAGTTTACGTGCTGCATTCCATAATGGGCAGTGCGAGTGCGCACCTCTGCCAAGCAGAGGTGACGCGCTGATTTTCTAAAACTCGTTTTTTACATCAGATTCACGCTTACCTCTGTTGAATTAGGTAACTAGCACATCTCTGGGATGTTTTCGCTGACTTCGAAATGAATCATTAGGAAAGCAGGTCTGCCGATGGGGACCATGGATTAAACAGACAGCGGCAAACGCGCTTATACAAATGCGCTTGTTTCCGATATGTCTGTAGCAGTGGCGGTCCCAGGATTTCAGACCAGGGGAGGACGCGACAAAATATTTTTAAATGAAGGTGCGTGGCGTCAGCCACGCAGTCTAAATTTTTAGGGATGCTTCTAAAAATTTTTGCGGGTCCCCCCCCCTCGGTCCGTCACTGTTGTAGTGAAGGGCAGTAGGTGAGATCAAGTTATCTGGAGCGTTAGAATATAAAGCGTTTTCAAAGCTGCAATCCTCAAAATTCATGAATGCGGTCCTTACCCACTTTAAAAAAAGTTCGACGAAAAAAAACCTTTACGAAACATTGCGCTTCAAAAAATTGTCACACATTTCAAAAAGAATTCACTTTCGAGCTTATGACACGTATCACTTCCAGCTGTACTATGAAAACCTTGGTTTGTCCCATGTTAGGCAAATATTATGACATTTTTTGTAAAAGTCCCTAACCTTTTGGATTGTCAGACCTCCATTCATAATAAAATGTTAACAAAACTACAATCAACATTGCATGGAATCGTTTTTTATGCGATCGCGTCTCTTCGCAAAACCACAACTAGACATCAAATTTACAGTTCATACTTACAAGAAGAAGTTTAGAGAAGAGTTTTATATATAATTTGCAACAATTTTCACAAGCATAGCAATAAATGGTTTTTTCTTTACCTTTACCTTTTTACCTTCGTCAAGTCAAGATTTTGAAAAAAAAACATAAAAGTCTCATTTTACAATCTCGACTCTTCACCGTTTGCGAAGATTCACTAAACCAAGTTTTTCTGCCTTCAATCCTTTTAGGACAGCTTAAAAATTAAAACTATTCTAGTAATTTGAATTTGTATGACCTACATTCAATTCCTGCGTGCGGAATACTGTATGTTTTTATGAAGACAATCAATAATCTTGATTATATTTTAACGCATTGACGACCGCTTGACACACATGGTGTGTCAAGCAATAACTACTGCGAGGGACCGCTTGACACACCATGTGTGTCAAGGCTTGAATTTTGTTAAAATAACTACTATACTTTCATAAACACACTCCACGAGCTTTCTTCTGCACTGAGTCTAGGTATGACCTCTACCGTTATTTTCAGCATTTCAGATCTACTGTAGGTGTACTGTAGATGGCAGTATGCGTAATCATAGTTGAAAAATGCGGGCTGGTCCGTAAATGGCCTTGGTCCCAGAAGGCAGACAACTAAAAATCTGCATGGTCGTCAATGTGTTAATGAACATAATCTTGATATAAACTTGCTGAAAAAGACGAAAGCTGCAGAATTTGATGTGTACGACGGAACTCTCATTAGATCTGAACAACATCATGCCTTCGCTTAGTGAGTAGGCAAAAGAAAGCGATATCAATAGTTTTTCTTATACATACGTGCTGGTGCGAAATTTTATTCTCCAACTGTTCGAAAGCAATAAGAGCCGCATGCACCAACATCCCCGCGGGGAGGTTAGTGCATGCGGCCCTAAGAATATATTAGTGGCGGACCGAGGGGGGGGGGAGACGGAGAGGGAGGGGCGCCCTCCTCCCTCCTCCCCAAGAATGGGTCGCGAAATTTTTGAAATTTAATTACGTGGGTTATAGAAATGTACAAGTGACTTGTTTATACACTGAAATACATCGAATTTCGCAATAATGAAGTAATTTGTTTTTTTGGTATTAGACTGGCTTATGTCACAACATATCATAAAACACATCTGTAATTCTACTTTGTAATGCAGTTTTGTTAATGATTGTTCCAGCGGATGCAGGTGTTTTATATTTGTTATGCAGTTGCAATTCTGTGGTTAATCATCCTTGTAGTTTTCGTTCTAACTTCTCAACTTCTTGTAAATCATGCAACACGCAACAATCAACACATCATGCAACAAAGCACGGATTAAATTTCTAAATTGTGCACATATGACGCGTATTTTTTGCTACTTCTTCTGCAATAGGTCTTTGCTATTCAAAGCAGAAAGTACCTTCAATAAAAACTAATGAGGAAAGCTACCCAATTTGGGAAGCGTGTTTAGTCGAGATGGCCTTTTTAGATGAAATTCATACCACTTTAGAGAGTATTGCACGGCGATTCCAAATCTGCCTTCCGAATCTGTCGAGCGCGCCTCTGGACACCGAGTTATGGCCGTTTTTTGGAACGAAAAATGAATGCAGAGTTTGGGTAAAATTGATTTTTAAAATCTTTACAGCGCTCAGATAAAGCACTGTTAAGTGTTAGCATATTAGATAAAATGTATCCATTGCACAAAGGGTTTTGATACTTGACAAAGGACCATTTGTGCAAATTTGGGCGATTTTGTTCCAGTTTTGCGTTCAATTTTTTGACCTGAAAAACGCCCATAATTCGGCGTTCAGAGGCGCTTGGCAGATTTGGAAGACAGATTTGAAATCATCGCTTAATGCTCTTCAAAACAGTATGGGTCTCATCTGGAAAGGCCACTTTGACTACACACGCTTCCCTTGTTAGCTCGGTCTTTTGGCAAGCAACATATCTTATACTTTCTGAATCAGCTTTAAACGCTGATTCCAAATATGCTATTCCTAGCTGCCGATCATCAGCGAGTTATGGGCTGTTTCCTGCACGAATTTGGCATACTACTGAACGTGGGATGACTGCCTGTAAATAAAACTCTGCAAGAAAAAGGTGCTGAGATATCGAAATAATACAATCCAATCTTTTCTCATTAAAAAGAAGCTCAACGCATGTACTAGCACTTAGGTGATGATACCGTAATGTTCAATGAGTTGATGAGTATGCCAGATTCGCGCAGGAGAAAGTCCGTAACTCTCTTTGGAATGGTGCTCGGCAGTTAGGAATAGCATTTTTGGAATCAGCGTTTGGAGCTGATTATTTAGAATATTTATGTCCCTTGGCAAAAAGCCGAGCTAAGTTAGGTAGCTCCTGTAAAAACGATAAGCTTCCTTTTCTATTGCAGACGTCATTGTTTATTTATTTATTATTTATTTATTCTTTGCTAACGAGGTGCATCAACAAAAATAAACATAAAGTGATCTCTTGCTGAAGTCCTCAGGTCGTTTTCCTTCTTCAGTCGATCTTCTGCCGAATTCTCTTCCCAAATTCACTCCCAGCTTTTGGTAGGAATTTCTAGGATATGGCTAGCCAACTAAACTCTACGAACGAATTCGTCAGAGACTTGAACGAGTAGGAGGGGAGTTCTCGAGGGTTCGCCAACATTGGAATTCCCTGAATAGTCCACACGAAGGGACCGATTTACAAAAGAAAGAAAGCACCAAAATAAATGACAACGCCGGTGACGCAACAACTATCGTACTTTTTGATGTTCGGTAGAAACGGAAAGAAAACAACAAACACAAAGCAAAAAAGAGTGTAAGCGATTGTATACCATTTTCAATAAATTCTTCGCAATTACGCCACTTGCATGCTGAATTGCACTTGCACCCCGAATTTCCTTCGAGAAATAGAGAAAAAGTTGAACTAGAGTGGTAGTGCAGAATATGAACAAGGTGACCACTTACGCGCTGACTTATCCTCTGCGTTTGTTTTCCTTCATCTTTACATGAAGACACTTCATTTAAAGATGAGGGAAAACAGTCTTTTAAGACTTCTTTTCTAACTTTCAAAGAACACGGTTTTGCCTAAGCAAAACCTTTCTACTCCTTCCTCTTTTGTGTACGATGCAAGGTGGGTGTCGCATAAAATTTAGTTCGAATTCTCATCTTCGCTATTCGACAAACATTTACTTAATTGTGATTTTTGCATATACGTGCGTGCCTATCACGCGTGTATCACGTTCTACCATTTGCATGCTTTTGCTTATGCTCATCTTCAAATGAATTTTGTTTACGCGATTGCAGTTCAAATGCTGTGATATTATTATCAACATAGATATGTATCATTTTAGATAAATGAGCCGCTATATATGTCCATTGTGTTCGAATCCTCATTTACGACTGTCGGACATGTCGCCTACCATCGAGGTGAGTACCTTATTGCTGTTCAGAAATACAATTCACCACCAGTTGAGCGAATCGGCTGCTAATACTAAGGCAGGCGTTATACTCCTCGAGGAGTATAGCATGGCGACGGGCGATCGCCAGTCGTGGCGACTGGCGATCGCCCGTCGCTAATCGATACGTATCAAACGTGTAGTCGCCGATATTGGCGATCATTACTCATTTCCCATTTCCATTTCAAAGTACTCACCAGCCGGTGAGGTCGCCCTAAAAAGAATGAACTGCAACCAGTGATTTTCACATTCAACACTTAACGGTAACTTGTTTGGCGACTGGCAACCGCCAGTCGTAGCGACTGGCGATCGCCAATATCGGCGACAAAAATCGCTGGTTTTACACGTATTTGATGCATATCGATCGTCGCCATGCTATACTCCTCGAGGAGTATAGCGCCTGCCTAAGCTTGCAACGCGAACAAAGTTAAAGCAATCATCACAGTGCTTGTTCTTGACCAAGTTAACTCCCGAGATAGTCTGAATATGATGTCGATTAGAATGTCATAGGCAGTATCCCGGGTGAATCAAGTTTAGAAATGATTGTAGTGGTTGGAAGGTCTCAAATATCAGGTCACTGACCATGAAACATTCCGGTCTTGCTTGTGCAGAAAACTGCATTCAAATTGGCACACCACCGCACAGGACCACCACGACAAACCCCCGCCCATATTAGCGCTGGTTTAGGGCAAGGCTTACAAAATAGCACAGTCGCCACTTTCAATCTGGGCTTCCTGCTTTTCTGGCTAGTGCACAATGTACGTCCTTCCCACAAGAAGGGCCCGTAGTAAAACCAGGCCAGCTCAATCAATGAGCTGACCCTTTCAGAAAATCTTCGTAGGTTGAACTTACAACTGCTCACCCTCCCTGTTTCCAAATGCAGGTCGAACAGCCAGAAGACTGTTTGATTAACCGCCACTGTCAGTCCAAGGTGCTGTCCGCAAATTGAACGTAAGCAGTAAGTTGCACTGACAAAGCAGAAAAGCAGACAAAAATTGCGTAAGCTGCTCATGAGTAATTTAAAGGACTCCGGACTCAAAGGATAACGTAATGCCACCGACGAAAACTACGTGACTGCGCGGTCTTGAAGGTTACAGTAGAAAGGGTTGTTGGATAGCTGAACAGCCAAGAAAACGAGGAAATAGGCTTTACTTCTACAGAATTAGCTTCGAATTTTTTGGGAGTTCAAAGAATAGAATTGTTTCATTTACGTTTCCATAGTTTTTGTTTTTTCTTTCATGAAAACTATTGTGAAAACGTAATTCTGTATCATCAATCTATTCGTTAGGAAAATCTTCAGCAATCACTATCAATTTTTCGATAGTGGTCGTTATCAAAGATTGCCCTGCGATGCAGCAAAAATAGTGCCGTGGCAGTGCTGGTCAAATCGCAAACACTTTCCTAATCAGCCAAACCTGCTCGAATCTTGTGTCTGTAATTGTTCCTTCTTTGAAAACGCTCACGAATTATGTCGAAAAATCGATCCGTGTTTAGATGATCAGCTATCAGCTCACAGGATTCTGAATTGAGGTTCTAAGTTCAACTTAGCCGCACTAAGCCTAGCTGCAATGACCGGAAGTATACTACAAGTGGCTCTGAAGCCATAACCAACTTTGACGAACAAAACTACAATTCCAAAATGTTGAAGAGAGGGTTGGAGGGGTAATGCCTTGGACACATAGGAAAACTTTTGTCCCTTTTTAAATTATAGTCTGCAGTTACTCAGCTGTCTCTGAATGTGATGAGCATAAACCGCATTTGAAAATTGAACAAAATTTTCTGCCTTGTTCTTAAAGTATCTTACCCATCAGCACTGAATTTATTTAGCGGGTAAGTGAGGGAGCCGATGCAGATGTAACCGGACGAGTTGCTCACTTGGATAATTGCACCGAAAAGTAGACGAAAAGGCATGAACAGTGTGCAAGTAGAGTGATGGGAATAAAAAGAGTTTTAACGACCAAAACTTATTTCGTATGAACAAAGCTAAATGAAGCTTGATACTGGATTGCATTTCTTTGGCTCAACAAATGAAGAATTGTAGCTCAATGTATGATCAGCTAGCAGCCTTTGGAATTGTTCCCTTGCAAATGTTTTGTGCATTCTTGACTTTATTGATGCATTGTATCACAGTCAATCGAAAAACATTCCCGATAGTCAGATTGTGTTTACTGTCTCAGTTTTCGCTAGGAAATGAATTTAAAGAAGCTTAAATTTTTTTCATGCATCATGCACCAAATGTTTAGATCAAAGATTCTCATTGATGCTTTATAGCTACATACTAAGTGTGTTACCAAAAGTAATTTTGCCTTTCATAAGCTCTTCGCTAGGATAACCAGTGCATAACGTTCACCGACAAACCACCGAAAATTGTTTTTGGTAACGCACTTAGTATGTAGCTATAAGGCATCAATGGGAATCTTTGATCTAAACATTTGGTGCATGATCATTATAGCACAGAGAGGTAGTAAATACCAAAGCAAATACAACCTCTGACTTACGAAACAGCTATCACTTCACGCTGTCAACGGTCATAGGCAAGATGTTCCGCGTAGCACAAGCGTAGCGCGTTTTTTTTTTGCCTTACAAAAAATGTATTGCTAGAGGTTCTTGGAATTCGGTAATCACCACTGATGCTAATTCCTCACTTGCGCGCTTTGGTCCAATACCCTGGTCATTCTATTATGACCTATAGGTTTAAGCAGGTTTTTGTAACTGCCGGGAAAGCATTGTTTGCTTTTGTAATTATGTGAACCTGGATATCCAAAATCAATACATGACATCGGCGATCAGCCTTGTTGATAGAATGCTGATGTTCATAAAACCAAGTTTAAAATTAATTTTCCATTTCAGTCGATATACCGCGAAGTCGATGATCTCGTTGACGATTGCAATTGTCAGGAGGCTTACAAAAAATTGGTATCTGTGAGTTTACTGTATCGGGATAAAATCACAGCCTTGGAGAGATGATAGTTGCAATGTAGGCAGCATGCAGCCCATCTGTCATATCTTCTAGAAATGTGACTGGCTTTCCTTTTCCTTCTCTTGCAATTTCATTCCGTCCTTTTGACTTTTTTTACAATTGGACCTTCTCCCTTTTTCTTCTTCTGCTTTCTCTTTTTAGAAAAATGTGTTCTAATCTTCTACAAAGCAGTGTACACGAAGAAAACGTGATAGTAGTGACATTTTTTGAGCACAATAGGTTTTAGCTGGCAGATGCAGATGACGATTCTGTGCCCCAGCACTTCCTGCCACGATCGCGTACATATGTGGCTTTCCAGCCTTCTACATTGTTCACTTCTTGATGTCAGCAAAGCTAGCTGTTTTTTCGTAGAAGCATGACTTTAAATGAACTTGGGCACCTAAGTAGTTGCGAAAGGAGTGGTATCCTCATTGCTGCGTTTGTGCAAAAAATAGGATATTATTCAAGTCAGCATTACTTTCGCTTCTTCGTGATTTCGATCAGTACCAGACGCTTTGACTAGTGGTCTTGGTGCGTTTGAACAGACAACTCTAGAAATTTATTTCTATACGGTAAAGGTAAATGTTGGAAGATAGTACATCAATAGACTTTTGACTATGAGAGAGAACAAAATTGATGTCTGGCTTCCTGTGCGACCTTTTAAAAAAATCAGCAGCAGCTTACAGGGAATGGTACTTAGCGATGGACTCGTGATGCTTACAAGTTGTCATGACATCCGCCTTGGCTCATCTCAATACTGTGTTCTCATCTGCACAAATACTTAAAAAGTGTTACGAATAATGATATTATCCAAAGTTGACGCATGTTATTAGGTTGTTACATAAGTCTTTTACACTATAACTTCTTACGGCGGTTAGTCATGAACCTCATACTCTTTACAGGTCTCCAAGGTACCATTCGATATGCAAAGCAAGCTCTACATGATATTGTGCAAACGTTTGCACCAGCTTTGACCCACAGTAAGTTTGCATCCGAAATTTGAGTCGCATTGAATCCTCAAAAAATTGGGAAAAATTCATATCTTTGTTCAAAAAATTCCTACGGATCTCCAAGTCGCTCACAAAAATTGCACACTACATCAAACATTCATATGCATCGTTCCTGCACTTTTTCTTCATCTAAAAATCGAAAAAACGGAAGTTCTTATGCCTATACAAAAACGAAGCTATGCTGTTTCTATTCATATAGCTGTATACTACAAGCCCCTAGAAGTATAGCCGTAAATTTTCATTTTTCCAGAAGCCCTAGCTTTCGAAAAATACTAAATTCAGCATATGTGTGAGTAAGTTAGTAAGCCGACCGAGGTTAGTAGATGTTTATTGTTAGTGGCAGCCTGACATTTCGACTGTCCGTCTTCTTCAGAGGCCTAAAGTGGTAAGAGATTTGATTTTATGTTCTACCCCACTACAAACCTCCTCCATACTCGACCATCCTCGACTCTACCCCCCAAAGTGTTACAAGCAAAAATACGCGAGCACGTGAAAGACGAAGCAACCTCCTCCGCCGCTGTCGCCCAGATGTTAGATGCGGCCGTCCTTCGTGCCTCTAGTAGTGATAATGAATACAGTGCAAACTATATTGACATTATTTACTAGCGGGACTCTTCAACTCACATAATGCCATAAAAGGCATAAAGTCATTCGTGATTGATGGACAGTCATTTCGGCTGTTCATGCTGGGTTTCTCGCGAAAATTCAGAATGCCTCGAAAGCTTTTCTGCTAGCAGGATCGTACTCGTATGCCAGTATAGTACATTTGATTTCGAAGTCCTTAACACGATGAAATTCAACTCTGTGTTTACCGAGTGGTGTGGTAAGACTTCCTCGTCTTTTGCTGGCAAGATGTTCTTTCATCCTTACCCATAGAAGCCTTCCAGTCTCTCCGATATAAGTGGCTTTGCATTCGATGCATGTAATCTCATAAATTACACCGGTCTTACCACAGTCGCCAACTTTACCGGATGGACAAACTACACAGTCTTAGATTCTGCAGTAGTTGTCATATAGTCTGTTACGCACTAGCCGCTTCCTGATGTTGTCACTTGGAATATCAACTAAAATGATATCGTCTTTCAAGTTTGCACGGTTAATGCATCGTCGCACTGCAGCACTAGTTGCGTCAGAAACGAAAGGAAGGCAAAGAGGTGTTTTCTGTTGGTGCTGGTTGCTTTGAATAGAAATGGATGGTCCACCGCGTCCTTTTTGGTGCGCGTAACCATTCATTCGAGCAATGTCCAGCGCCCATCTTTGAGATTCCTTCCGTTCTTCTTCTCCTGTGCATAGTTCGTTGCTGTTTTGAGCATGTTATGAATAACAGCTCTTTTAACAAACGATCGGATATGCAGAACGAGCATTAATCAAGATGTTCTTGAAAGTCTCCTTACGATACCATTTTACACTCGCAGCGCCGTTGAACAGTTTGATCTGTACGTTTAAGTAGGGGAGGCAACCATTTCTCGATTGCTGACGCTTGAACTTCATGTACTTTGATGCTGATTAAGTAATCGAAAACACTCATCCATTTCGGATTGTGTTGATGCTATGACGCAACAGTCATCAATGTAACGGCAGTACATAAGAGGCATTCGTGACAGCACTGGTTCTTCTATTCTACTCATGAAGCAAACCGCCAGAACTGGAGCTAGTCTTTGTCCCATTGCAAGACCTCTTAGCTGGGTATAGTATGTTCCTAACCATCTAAAGATGTTACAAGAGAGACATTCTTTGATCAGGAGCAATAACCGATCTTTTACTCAGCCCTATTCTATCTGCTGGTGTGCTAAATGCTTATACTTATCAGGCTAAGCACCCGCAACCGATCAACTTGACTCATTCGCAAAGGCTTGGCTACAAGGAAATACGTGATTTAGTCTCTAGTGAAGCTGTACGTATCTCGGTAAGCGACAAAAGGGGAAAATTTGTGATTCTTCCACGAATCTTGGACCGGAAAACTTCACCTCAGCGATACGACCATCTATCGTCGCGTGACTGAGAGAGATTTTCAAGCACAATACAAGCGACTAAATCATGTTTGGATGGATGTAGGAAGAGCAGCTGGCTTTCCCGAGAGCTTTCTCAGCAGACTGAAGTTAGAAACACCAGAGTGCCCGGTCTTTTATAGTCTTGTTAAAACCCATAAGCTGACCGCTGCTGATGACGCGCGCATTTTAACGGCGGAACAGTCGAAAATAAGACCGATCATAAGTTGCGTAGGGGGACCTACCGACCAAATATCCTGGTTCTTAAAAAAGATTGTTAACCAGCTACTGGACAAAGTCCCGTCTCATTTGACCAATACGAATCATTTCTTGGAACGCCTCCGTAACACCACTTTGCAAACGCAAAAGTGTGGCAGAGTCTTTTGACGTCGTGTCTTTGTACACAAATGTTCAAAACGACGATGCTCTGCAAGCAGTTTCGGAAATTTGGACAACTTTGGTGAAAAGATTCAGACTTTCGGGCTGAGTAAAAGATCGGTTATGCTCCTGATCAAAGAATGTCTCTCTTGTAACATCTTTAGATGGTTAGGAACATACTATACCCAGCTAAGAGGTCTTGCAATGGGACAAAGACTAGCTCCAGTTCTGGCGGTTTGCTTCATGAGTAGAATAGAAGAACCAGTGCTGTCACGAATGCCTCTTATGTACTGCCGTTACATTGATGACTGTTGCGTCATAGCATCAACACAATCCGAAATGGATGAGTGTTTTCGATTACTTAATCAGCATCAAAGTACATGAAGTTCAAGCGTCAGCAATCGAGAAATGGTTGCCTCCCCTACTTAAACGTACAGATCAAACTGTTCAACGGCGCTGCGAGTGTAAAATGGTATCGTAAGGAGACTTTCAAGAACATCTTGATTAATGCTCGTTCTGCATATCCGATCGTTTGTTAAAAGAGCTGTTATTCATAACATGCTCAAAACAGCAACGAACTATGCACAGGAGAAGAAGAACGGAAGGAATCTCAAAGATGGGCGCTGGACATTGCTCGAATGAATGGTTACGCGCACCAAAAAGGACGCGGTGGACCATCCATTTCTATTCAAAGCAACCAGCACCAACAGAAAACACCTCTTTGCCTTCCTTTCGTTTCTGACGCAACTAGTGCTGCAGTGCGACGATGCATTAACCGTTGCAAACTTGAAAGACGATATCATTTTAGTTGATATTCCAAGTGACAACATCAGGAAGCGGCTAGTGCGTAACAGACTATATGACAACTACTGCAGAATCTAAGACTGTGTAGTTTGTCCATCCGGTAAAGTTGGCGACTGTGGTAAGACCGGTGTAATTTATGAGATTACATGCATCGAATGCAAAGCCACTTATATCGGAGAGACTGGAAGGCTTCTATGGGTAAGGATGAAAGAACATCTTGCCAGCAAAAGACGAGGAAGTCTTACCACACCACTCGGTAAAACACAGAGTTGAATTTCATCGTGTTAAGGACTTCGAAAATCAAATGTACTATACTGGCATACGAGTACGATCCTGCTAGCAGAAAAGCTTTCGAGGCATTCTGAATTTTCGCGAGAAAACCCAGCATGAACAGCCGAAATGACTGTCCATCAATCACGAATGACTTTATGCCTTTTATGGCATTATGTGAGTTGAAGAGTCCCGCTAGTAAATAATGTCAATATAGTTTGCACTGTATTCATTATCACTACTAGAGGCACGAAGGACGGCCGCATCTAACATCTGGGCGGCAGCGGCGGAGGAGGTTGCTTCGTCTTTCACGTGCTCGCGTATTTTTGCTTGTAACACTTTGGGGGGGTAGAGTCGAGGATGGTCGGGTATGGAGGAGGTTTGTAGTGGGGTAGAACATAAAATCAAATCTCTTACCACTTTAGGCCTCTGAAGAAGACGGACACGTCGAAATGTCAGGCTGCCACTAACAATAACATCTACTAACCTCGGTCGGCTTACTAACTTACTCACACATATACTAACAATGCCGAGGTTTACGAAAGAGGAAACCTGGAAGCTACCAAATTCAGCTTCTCCCATTCGGATGTTCAATGCTAAGTTAGGTAATTTTTGAAAACTAGGGCTTTTGGAGAGCTGAAAATTTACGCTTATACTTCTAAGGGCTTGTAGTATGCAGCTACATAAATAGAAACAGCATAGCTTCGCTTTTGTAAAAACTAAAAAAATTTGTTTATTTCGATTTCTAGATGAGAAATAATACAGCAACGGTACATATGAGTGTTTGATATAGTGGGCAAGTTTTTTGAGCAAGTTGGAGATTGTAAGGTCTCCCTGAACAGAGATACATGAATTTTTCGCAGTTTTTGAGCCCTCACTACGACTCGATTTTGGATGCAAAGTTACAGTGGGTCAAAGCTGGTGCGAACTTTTACACTATCTTATAGAGCTAGCTTTTCTCTATCGAATGGTTCCCTGGAGCCCTCTAATGATCTGAAGTGCCTTATGGCCGTAAGAAGTCAAAGTGTAACAAAACTTATGCAACAACCTACCCTAATTACACACGTACAAGGCGCACCTTTTTCGATTTTTCAAACAGGCCGCTCAACCGCTCCAATGTGTTTTGGAAAGCGAACCTTAAACCGTTCAATTCTCTCAGGCAATACGGAGCCCGGTATAAGGTTCTTTGGTCGCGAAGTGTTGTAACGTGTTTGGGCTGGCCGATTTTAGAAAAAAATCCCCCGCGCCTTGTACGCGTGAAATTAGGGTAATATTACAAACAGAAATGGGGGGGGGGGGGGACTGATGAAGTTGGTGCGATTAAAGTCCACATAGCGGTAAGATCTTTTGCATTATCATGCAGGTAGCGCAGATCTGATCCACGTTGGTGCTAATATGTTTGCATTTGCTCTTACTACAGTGCTGGCCATAGCTATAAAGTCACCCAAAATCACGAAAATTTGCCCTATTTCGGAAATTGTCGGAAAAACCACTATTTTGTGTGTAAACCAACGCTATATTCGTTGTCTGGAACGGCTCTCAATTTCATTGATGTTGCCCGGAGAAAAATTGAAAAATTTGAAAAATCGCGTTCCGAAGGTTGGTCACAGCTATAAGGCTACCTCTTGTTTCCGAGCAATACGGCATTCAACCTAGAATTTTTGTACAGTTATAGCATTGAAATATGAAACGGTTACACCTGGGAGCTCTTGCCTTACAAAAAGAAAATTTGTACTGCTTGTTTTGCTTCAAAACGCATAAAAAGTCACATTATTTCAAAAAAGCGCTGATTTACTGAGTTTTCAAGTGCTTATTCAGCTCGGATGAAGGTATTAGGATTTGTTGAGGCCTTTTCAATGAATACGGTAAAGAGCGCTTGAGTATACTTTGCGTAGTGGCTGATATTCATGAAAGAGACTGAACCTTACCTTCACATAGTCGAGTCTTAGAACCATAAAATTTCAATTCTGGTGCTCGAAAAACTTCATCGTGTGCTCAGTGCGTCGTCCGTTCAACGTCAAAATTGAGCGCATTGCAAAACATCATAGCAACTTCTAGAATTAAGGTTTTGCCATGAGCGCTGTTCCATGAAAGTGCGTAACGTCCCGTAAACAAGAGCCACTCTGAACCATTCAATCGGACGAAAAACCGCTCAAAACTTTGAAATTTTCGTGATTCTAACCGCACGCAGGAATTGGCTTGAGGAGGAGTTAGAATGAGTAAAATTCGGAGTCGTTTTAGATTCCCTGCGTACAACTGAACTGTGTATGAAACATTTTGACTTGAACGTTGCATTGCGTCTTTGCAAAAATTTTGACAATTTCTCCGTATGTACGTCGTCACGCAAACACAGTGTTCAACTTTTGATTAGAAGTGCTCGTTAGAAATTGAATTATTTCTCAAAGCGTGCTTAAAAACATGATAATGTTAGGGTTCGTTTATCAATAACAGCGACTACGCAAAGTTGAATCGAGCGCTCTTCACCGCATTCATTGAAAAGGCCTCAACAAATCCTAATACATTCACCCGAGCTGAATAAGTGCTTGGAACTCAAGAAACTAGCAGTTTCTCAAAATATTGTGACTTTTTAAGCATTTCAGAACAAAAAGCAGTATAGATTTTCTTTTTGAAGGGCGACAGCTCCCAGGTGTAACAAATGTTTCATATTTTGATGCTATAATTGTACAAAAAGTTCTAGGTTCAAAGAATGTCATATTGCTTGAAAACAAGAGGTGGCCTTATAGCCGTGACTAGCCTTCGGAACGCGTTTTTTTCAAATTTTTCGATTATTCTCCGAGCAAAATCAATGAAATTGAGGGCCGTTCTAGACAAATATAGCGTTGGTTTACACGCAGAATAGTGGTTTTAAACAATTTTTTTCCCAAGACAGGGCAAATTGTCGTGATTTTTTAGGGTGGCTTTGTAGCTATGGTTAGCACTGTATCTACTTCCGAAAAATGGTCCCGCAGACAACGCTACACGGTTTGCAACTAGATTCTGGGCGAGCATTTTGATTTAGGTTGATGCAAAATTAATGAGCGTTAAACTTTTCTATTGAACTTTCTTCTTCAACGGACTTAGCACACCACTAAAAACTCTTTTCAAGCTCCTTTTAAAGACCGCTGATGGACTTCTAGCCTAGTTTGTGGCAACCGCTGTCAAAACTTCATTCACTTTTTTGATCAGAATTCAAGCGCAAGTTATGGCGCTACTTCGAGAATTTTGCCGCTGTATGTATTGTAAATTGACTACACGCACACTGACTGTATTTTCTGATATTATCTCGACTGAGATATCGGTGCCTTAACATGGGTCAATTGTTGTGGTCCTACGGCCCACAAGTTTCTTTTAATGAAAGCTCTATCGCCAAAATTTCTCTCATTTCTGTAAGGCGCAAGGGTAGGGCAGACAGTTTGGCAGTTTTGCAGAAGCACCCAAATGTCCAGTACGCAGGAACCTGAGAATTTCAAAATTTGGGACTTTGAGGCCTTCTGAAAATGTAAAAAAAGCTTACAATTTTAGATCTTAATTTTTTTTTCAAGCAAACGTTTTTTTGTTCAAGCCCTTTCCATTCTCATTTGTATTAGGCTGATCCGAAAGATCTGTGGCACCATTTTCAAAAATTCGTAACTTCTGGTTTTTCCAACCGATTTGCGTATTTTCATTTTTATCTAAAAGAGCAATTTATTCGCTTCATAGGAATCCCCTAGTGGCTTTCAATTTACCATACACTGCATAGTTAGAAGCGGTAAAGGGATTACTCGAATTTTCAATTTTCTGTGTAGGGTCATAAAAAATCAGAAAATTGCGGTAAAAATAGGAGCTATGTCAGCATGATAGGTTTTATTAGCTGCTCTTTTCAAGTGTGAAAAGTCTGTGCTGATTGATTGTTTCTATAAAAAGTTATGATTTTCGAGCAAGTAATACAAAAGGGCAAATTTGATTTGTTTTGGCATATTTCTCGAAATTCATAACTTTTCGTAGAGACCTCAATCAATGCAAATTTTGCGCAGTTAGAAAGAGCAGGTATTAAAGCCTATAATACTGACATAGCTCTGATTTTTACCGCAATTTTCTGATTTTTTATGACTCTACACAGAAAATTGAAAATTTGAGTAATCCCTCTACCCCTTTTATATGAAGTGAACGGTAAATTGAAAGCTAAGGTAATTCCATGAAGGGAATAATTTACTCTTTTATATAAAAATGGAAATACGCAAACCGTTCAAGACAGAAGTTATGAATTTTTGGGTGCGACCCAACTTTCGGGTCAACCTAATACTACTGGCTTGCTGCTACAAGATAGGCTACATACAAATTACTGACAAACTTCAAAGGGAGTTAATTTTTCACACTATGTTTTTAGAAATTTTGTTCCTTTCAATCCATATTTTTCTGCCTCGTGAAATGAAAGCAGGTCACTTTGCGCTGTATTGAGAGAAGGTGATGCTTCTGATATTCTTTACCGCAATTAGAATTGCAGACTTCTCGGAAAGATATAGCAAGTCGAAATAAAACGACTTCGCAAAACTCTTACTATTTTTGCATCAATCTAATCTAACACACTTTTAACCACGGTTACTGAGCATCATCGCCTTGCTAGTTTGGACCCTTCTCAAAGCAGGTCGCCATTACCTTTGAAACCCTAAACTACCTTGACGGTTCCAACAATTTGTGACAAATTTTTCCAAAATGAGGCACCAGTCTAGAATGAGATCAATATCAGCTCTTCTGAGCCGCTATGTAAGCAGCTCATCTTCTTATTCTGGCACAATATGACCAATATCACCTGGGGTGGTATGTATTAGTCGCCCGTCCGGGAAAGAGTTAACATGACCGAGCTAGGAGAGCGTATCACCCGAATCGGAACCCTTACCCGGACGAGCGATTGATACATATGCCCTGGAGTCGATAACAGCTTTGGCAACTGTACCCAAATTACAAAAAGATGTATAAGTGAAATCTTCGTTGAAATTTAGCGTTCTAGATGTGTGATTTCGTTAACGATAAAGCCGAGTGGCATCGTAAATGCGCGGAAGTGTGTTATATGGTCAGTAACATGGAAGAGAAGGATCAAGAGCGTGTGGAATGGTTGAAAACAGGTCAGATGAAACCTCAGCATTCAACATAATTTTGATCTCAGAGTTGCAGGGCGACAACATGCTTTAGATGCACACGAACTAAACCCTGTTAGTGTACCTATACTAAAAATACTCTGCTCCACCACCGGTCGTTTAGCCGAAGAAAGCGGAATAAGAGAAAAGATCAGCCTTGGATTTGAGTTCAAAGTGGGTTTGCTATAGTTCGCGAAATTCGGTGATGTTGAGAAAAGAATGACAGATGCTGGGAAGAAGGAATGAAAAGGAAAAGTGCTCGGCACGACATGACAGCCAAAATTTTAGCTCCTAGTCTTCGCAGAACGCAATTATTCTTCTAACTCTTCTTCTTTTTTTTAGAGAGCTCGCAAAAACAATCAAGTATAGCCCTTATAAAATCAGCTGCCCGTGCCTAGCTTACAAACGCGCGGAGCGGCTGGAGACATGGGATCCCGAACGCTACAGGCTCACAGCCGATAGAGCGCGCACCTTCTGTGAACGTATTCTTATAGACAGACAGAGTCATTTGTGGTTAACACATTGACGACCACGCAGATTTTCATTTGTCTGCCTTCTGGCCAAGGCCTTTTACGGACCAGCCCACAACTTTCAACTATAATTGCGCATACTGCCATATACGGTACATCTACAGTATATCTGGAAAGCTGACAAATAAGGAACAGGTCATCCCTGAATTCAGTGCAAAAGAAAGCTCATGGAGCGGGTTTATCCCAGGATAGTAGTCATTTTGACAAAATTCGAGCCTTGACACACATGGTGTGTCAAACAGTCCCACACGGTAGTCATTGCTTGACACACCATGTGTGTCAAACGGTCGTCATTGTGTTAAAACATAATGTGCAATGCTGGAAACTACCTGAATGTTGCTCGAAAGTTCATAAGCCAAATCGACCGTCCATAGCACGTCGCAACAACCGCTCGCCTATGCTGTGTTCAAGTCACGACGAAGGCAATTAGATTTTACAGGGCTTGTGTCTCTTTTCTTTCACTGTAAGCTAATCCATTTTGTGCACTTTCCGCTAGTGATGAGTCCTGTTTTGATTACACAAATGAGAGATCTCGAAATGTTGCATAATGACGAATCGATGAGACAAGAGTTTTACAGTGCTTCCTTCCTATTCTAAACCTTTCTAGACATATCTCGACCGTGCGGTGGCACTAGATCCATTGTCATTTGAACTGTTACATATGCGAGGACGATTTCAGTATCAAGTGAGCTTCTTCTTATGTAAGTGTTCGAAGGTCATCATTGCAGTTGAGGTTGCAAACTTGAGTTTCTTTGAAAGGCTGGCAGCAAGAGCTATCGGAACATTGCCTCCAACATCGCTCGATTCGGCTTTGACTGATCTACTTGAGTTGAGATTTTCATCATGTAATTATGCTGCTCGCGTTTTTAACATATTCTCATTGTAGGCGGAACAAATACATCCTGGTGTCACAGAAAACCGGCTTTACATCGGCCGAGTTCTTCATGCTAAAGGTGACTACATAACTGCAAAAAAATGGCTAGCTCAAGTAAGTTTAGACTATGCTTTTCTGCCTTTAGAAGCCTACGGCTGTAGGACTTTGCGTTTGAAAAGTTGCATACATTTCTTCATCTCTTTAAAATTAGTCGCATATTGCAGCATCTTCAAGCATAAAAATTGTGTATTTTGAGTGGCCACGCAGCCCTATTGTTAGACAAACACGATGTGTACTTGTCGTAAGGATATATAGACGATCACCCCGTTTAAGAGATCTCCATCAGTTTTATGTTGCTCTATATTTTGTCTATATATGTCTATACTGTCCCTGTCTATATTTTCGTATCTCCAAAAGGTTACAAAAATATGTGCTCCCACACTGTTTCACGCGACAAGTTCATGCGCTCTGAGACAACAATCTCAACCTCTTGCGAGCATGTACAATCCAAACTGAGCATCTAGACTTGCACATCCTGTACTTCGTACTCAGTTACTAATACTGCACCCACGGCTCGGCACAGGTGGCTTGTAAGCCAGCTGGTATCGTTTTTTGGGACGAAAAGCAAAGGGGGTTTCGTTTTTGTGACCAAGAGACACGGAAAATTGGCGACGGCGACCTTTTTTTTAGTCGAGGTTTCGTTTTTTGGGGGATTTTGGGGAATTTTTCAGGTTTTTAGAGGAAATTTGGTTGAGGGTCAAAGGGGACTTCGTAAAAATTCCCAAAAGTCAAGGGGGACTTCGTTTTTTCCATTTTCATCTAGCCACCTCGTGCCGAGCCCTGACTGCACCCACTGTTATGTTGTATATGGACTGCAAAAAGCCCTTATAATGTTTTAATGTTCGAAGTGTTTCAGGCTGCATCCGCTAGCTGTGACGAAGACGAGCCAGTCGAAAGAGAGCATATTGAGGCAGCACGAGAACTACTGCTTAGCCGAGTGTATCAAAAGTAGATGGAAGAATCAAAAATTGTAATTACTGAATTGATACGAGTAATCCAATAATTTCGCTGTTTCCTCTTGTGTATTTGCAATTAGCGAAATTGGTAACCGATAAATTCTAAAGTCGTTTCTTAGTAATACTATGTATTTTACTTTGGTTTATCACACTGCTCGACTGGTTATCCTAGGCGTCGCAAGCACAGGGTGAAAATAGATCTTCATATAAACCCTTGAGGGAAGCGTGTTTAGCCAAAGTGGCCCTTTTAGATGATATGAACGATATCGAAGAGCATAAATGCTTAGTTTATCTGCCTTCCTTATCTGCGGAACATTTGTGGACGAGAAGTTATGTTTACTGGAGCAAAATAATTGAAAGTGCATTGGGTCGGAATAAGTTGCTTCCGCTCTTGATTCCTCCTATAAACTTCGGGAATATCAACATTCTCCTATAGTTCTCGTAGCATTCCTCTTGCCTTATGATGCTCTTGTCAAAAATGCTGCAAGATTCTTTTATATGAGTTCGTTTCAAAGTTATCGCCGTTTTTCACCTATCAAAGCTATGTCCACGGTGACTGTGTTCTCGACGCTTCTTAGGTCAAAAGTGCCTGCAAAAAAATGTATTAGGTTGGTGCAAAAGTTCTGTCGAAACATTTTTGAAAAAAAAACATAACTCCTTCTCAGTTGACGATTTGCACAAACTCAGCTCCACTGACTAGAGGGAAATTATATAATGTTTGTGGCAGTACCTTTGCTGCTCACTAATAAGGAGCAGCTTTTGAGATGGAGGTAAGAGTATAGAATCACTTCAACTTTGGTTATCATAAATTGGGCTGCTAAAAATCTAAAGTATGCGATATAATTCAGAATCTAGAAGTTCGAGCTTCAAAATTTTGCCGAGTTGTTTAAACTGTCTTCGTAGTCACAAAATAATGATAATCAGTGCAACTGCAATACATTATTTTGCGACCAAAACTGTTTTATCTCGTTTTCTTACACTCCTAAATTATTGTCTATGCAATTTCCATGCTCTAAGAAGTACTCAAAAGTTCCAAAAGAGTGCAAAATGCAAGCTTCAAATATAATATAAGTAAACGTTCAAATCATTGTCTCTTTGCAAAACCTCCATACGTGTTTTTGTAAATTTCCGATTGAGTACGATTGGCTGACACAAAACGCAACCGTCCGGGTCATTTTTAGAAAACACTAGGTTAGAGGAAAACTATTTGGAAAAAAAATTAAGCCGGGACCTGTGGACTTGTTTTGTTATACATATAAAAGGCTGAATGTTGATAAATTGTCAAGTAGTGTACTCTTTATAGAAACTTTCGCGTGTGGACCGATCACCGGGAAACTTTGCACACATATTAGGTCGTTTCAAAAGTAATTTCGCTTTTTCAAACGGGCGCCACTTTTTATGGAACAAAGATTTCTAGAAGATCTTGGTAGCATTCGATGCAGAAATTCATCCTCTTTCTAACAGTAATGAAACCGTTGCAGCGCAATCAATGGGCTTTCGGAAAATAACCAAAATCTGCGACCCATGCTTTTTGAGATGTTCAAGTTTCACGATTTTTCAGAACTTTCATATCAATCCTCAGAAGGAGTTCAAATAACGATTCGATAGAGTAAACCTTATAGAATACAGTACTGCTTTTTTCTCTATCTCGTAGCTCGCCGTATTTCAAAAGATTTTTCAACAGAACCATTGGATTTTGGCAGGCCCACCTCAGCCGCAATCGCATCGAACATCATAATTTTTCGGAATTTGAGACTACCAAGATGGTACTATGAATTAGCATTAACTTTACAAGGCAAGTGAGGGTTTACGGGTTCGAAATACCAAATTTCGAGTTTTTCGGATACAGCCGGGGGTTCGCTAAAAAAATGAGTTATGATGATTTCTCCCCGGAATCTAAACGAAGTGCAATTTTGATTTTCGTGATATTTCCGCATTCTCGGATCTGCGTTTTTCACGCAACAAAATTGCTCTCGATTGGTCCGATTTTCACTCATCTAGAAAGACAAGGTCACAAAACCCGTGTTCTTGGCTTTCCCGCCTTTTTTTGACGTTTTTGAGCTTTTTTAAGCAAGCTCAAAAAGCCTAAAACGTCACAGAAAAGGTGGAAAAGCCCGAGCATGAATTTTGTGACCTTCTCTTTCTAACTAAGCACGTTTCGAGCGGGTAGGGGAACGAAAGCCGCCAGCTTCGGTCGCCTGCGCGGACTGCTGGTCCTGGAACGATATGCAACAACGTTGCGAAAGGACCAGTTAGCCGCGAAAGGCGGCTCAACCTGCGGCTTTCGTTCCCCTACCCGTTTCGAGTTAATCGAAAGCAATTTTGATCTTCGTGACTTTTTCGGGAGTGCGTTTTTAACGAAAATGAACTTTGCTTTCGATTAGTTCGAAACTTGCTCAGCTAGAAAGAGAAGGTCGCAGAACCCATGTTTATAACTTTCCCACCTTTTCTCTGACATTTTTAGGCTTTTTCAAGCATGCTCAAAGATTGCAGAACTGAAGGCATTCTCTTTATCTGCAATTAACTCTCGATCTTCTTCGTTTCAATCAGTGGGAAAGGTACCCCTGTAATGTGCAAAATTTTCTCTATCAAATAAAAATATTTCCAAAATTTTTCGTGATCCAGCTTGAAAAATGTCGATCTTGACCAATTTTCCTTAATTGTTTCTATTTCTCGAACTTTCCAATGCCTATTCATGGTAATGGTGCTACTGTAAACGGAGGATTTCCTCCTTTAGATGAAAGTATTAGGTTGGAAACTAAGTTTTGCAACTCAAGCAATAACTTTCCTCTCACCCAACATGGCGCACTCAAATTTTGCCACAGTGTTGACGATGACGTAAGCTGCAAGCACAGCTGCTGTTCTGCCAAATTCTGATGTCGCAGTGAGGGTTACGGTAGGTGTATGGTATGAAGGGGAAAAATTCAAAGTCTGACATATTTGGCTGAAACTTGGCGTAGGGGTGTTATCCGACATGCTGATCACGAAAACGATAGTGAGATTGCGTGATAAGGGCTTTTTTCTAGGACTACTGTAGTTGTACGATATGGGGTCTCACCCTAAACGAGGACAAATGCGTTGATTTAACAAATGAAAATGATATTCGTGTTTAGCAGGTCAAAGAACCTCAATATGTAAAGGCTCGGGGAATTTTGTGTTCTGACTCCTTAGTCATTGACGGTTGTCCCCAGCAGCCTTGCGTACAACAACTCCTTCGAAATTGTGACGACGCCAAATCTCCATTTGCACCTAAATTTTATCTCTTTTTTGGTGAGCCGAATAAGTCAACCTCTAGCAACAACTAGCACACGATTCCGGATTATTGGGCATCGTCTAAACTGCCAAAGGCTTCATTTCAGCTTGAAACCCCAAAAATTCTCAAATTTCACTAGTTTTCGAAAAACGCCTAAAACTTTTCTATTTCGAATACAAAGTTTAGACAATTTATGCTCACTTGTAGCTCACATTGCCTTCTACATAATGCCAAAGTTTGAGTGCGCCATATCCAAAGAGAGTGAAGTTATGAAACCAGTTGCAAAACTTAGTTTCCAGCCTAATAAACTAAAGAAAATCTGTCGACTGGCAAGGAAGTTATAATATTAGGTCGTCCCGAAAGTTCTTGCGCACGATTTTCAAAAATTCATAACTCTTTAGATTCTCAACGGATTTGTACGATCAAAATTTTGTATAAGAGAGGAACTCATGCTCTTTGCATCTGTGCTTGAACTTTTCGTTAATGTTTACAAATGAAGGAGATAGAAGCTCAAAACCAAAATCACTCAAAATTTGAATTTTTCGTGTAGGGTCATAAAAAATCGGATACTTGCAGCAAAAATCGGAGCGGTCAGTATTGTAAGTTCTTTCACAAGCTCTTTCTAACAGTGCAAAGTTTGCGCCGATTGAACGTCTCTATGGAAAGTTATGATTTTCGAGCATGCAATACAAAAGGGCGAATTTGATTTATTTTGGCATTTTTCAGGGAATTCATAACTTTTCACAGAGACGCTCAATCGGCGCAAACTTTGCACTGCTAGAAAGAGCTGGTGAAAGAACCTATAATACTGGCTGCTCCGATTTTTGTGGCAAGTTTCCGATTTTTTATGACCCTACACGAAAAATTCAAATTTTGAGTGACTTTGGTTTTGAGCTTCTACCTCCTTCATTTGTAAACATTAACGAAAAGTTCAAGCACAGCTGCAAAGAGCATGAGTTCCTCTCTTACGCAAAATTTCGTTCTTACAAATCCGTTAAAAATTTGAAGAGTTATGAATTTTTGAAAATCGTGCGCAAGAACTTTCGGGACGACCTAATATATTAGGTTGTCTCGAAAATTTTGTCCGTTTTTTCAACTTATCATAAAAATACGTGGAACAAAGATAGGGAAACGCTCTAAGCACTATGCGACGCATCTTTTCCTTCTCTTTCTGACTGTCAAGCTCATATGCCGATTACTCTTTTGTTCTCTGAGATAAACGCCGAAATTTCGAACCCATGGTTTTTATTATGTCTAAGTTTGACAATTTTTCACAATCTTCATTTTCAACTTTTGGAAGACCTTTGATAGCCCTCAAGAGTAAGCAAAGGGCAATGCAATGCAATTAATCTGGCATATCTAGCTGGCTTTTCAATATTTTTAAATAGTTTTTTCAATAATCTTCACTTTTGCGAAGTTCTAAAATACAGAAACGCCTCGAACACTAAGAAATCATCGGATTTTGAAGCTTTCAAAAACCGATTACGATTATTCACTATTTTTACGACAAATGAGCGTTTACCGCTTCGAAATATAAGATTTTGCATTTTACGTGTACACGCTTGGGTGGGGTCAAATTCAAGAATTATGAGAATTTTATCGCCAAAGACCCTCAAATTGGAAAGAAAATATACTCACTGGAAAGAGGAGGAAAAGCTGCATCGAATAACACCTTAGTTGTGCGCCGTTTCGTGATCTCTGGCTTTTGGCATCACCAAAAGTGGAATTTGATAGCATCAGAAAAATAATTCTAAAAAATTTTTAAGGCTGGCTATAGATGCCGCAAAA